AATTGTTGTTGTCCCTGTATGTAGCCACTTACAGCTGCTTGTTGGTTTGGCAGTTGATTTCTTCCAGACTCAGACCTCAAATTTGATTGTGATAGGTTCAGACTCTACCGCATATGTGGAGAGCTTATGTGTCCCCACTCAGAATCAGATTGCGATTGATTAAAACTCTTCAAATTGGAAATGAAGGGTACATCAGTCGATCTCTGGCTACCAACCCATATATTGTTGTTTAGTCCTGGTCAGTTCTTCAAATTCTTAAATTGTAATTCATTTCTTTAACGGCATTTTGAATATCGGTTTCATATTGTAGGTTCTAAATTCCAAACGTAAGCTGCTAACTTTGGTTATTTTCGCAGGAATTTCTTAGGGTGTCGCGGGATGGAACTCTAGTGAATATCTTCCACGTGAAGCTCATGGTTTTCACAAGGCCTGTGATAGAAACTGAAGTTGCGATATGGACTACCAATAGGGATCTTTTGGTGTGAGTCTAAAAGGTCGTTAAAACTTGTGATTCATTTTACCAAGCTTCTTTGAATCTCAAATTCTCAAAATCATTGATTACACATATCGGCACTTGCTTGTAATGGTTTCGTAGCTTGTCAGGTAGAAGAAGCAGCTTGACATGTGTTGTAGAAAAAATTTCTTGTAGTGAATTAATATGTATGAATGTTACTTATTCCAACTCTTTCGCGCGGATGAACCGCCGCATACTTCTGATGTGCTTCTTCTCGATTTGAATTCATTTTTTATTATTCCGAATGTTAACTGCTTTTCTGTCGTATTCAGGTAATATCACGAACGAAGCTTAGCGAAAGGCAAGTTATGGAAGTCGTGGTAATGAAGACAAGGATAATGACGAAAGAAAAAGATTTAGACAACATGTACTTCCATACATCATCAAAATGTAACACGTCTTTATGTAGACGGTGCTTGAAGGAATAAACTATGTTCTTTCCAATTTCTTTTGTAATATTGAGACAAAATTTATTTGTGATGAAACTTCATTGCAGCGAATCTTAAGCTCTTAGATGCAACACGCCTTTTAGATTTCTTGTGATTTCATGATTTAAGCTTGAAACATCCTAGGAATGAATCCAAATTGTCTTGAAATATGGCCCCTTCTTTAAAAACTCGAGACTTGGCCTAGAATCAACTAAACCTTGAAAGTTTGCGAATTATAGTCTGAATTAGAAATAATGTTATAACATCTTTGAAGCTCCATCCTCTTTGCACTCGTACTGTGATTTGAGACAATTTCCTTTTTCAATTCATTATTGTATCAATTGGGGAAACTCCATAGACTCTTGAGTTTAATCGAATGCCAAACTCTATACCAAACTTTCTTAGATTGAATACAAATGAGTCTCGTGATCATGCCATATCCATCCTTTGGCTAGTGATTTTATCAGGGAATATGTAAAGAAAAGCACACTACATAGTCGCTTAGCAAAATAACTACTTTAAAGCATACATAAGTGAACTTCAACCCTGAATCCAAACCCTCTTGTGTGAGAAAGCAATGGGGCCTCGAATGCCATAAATCCATGTGCTATAAAATCTTGATCTCAAACAAATATGAAAACGACTTTAGCGAGATACAACCAAAAACCCATCTAGGATGTCTTTGAAGTGTTTATCCACGAATGGCCTAAGAATGAAGGAAGAGT